GGCTCACCATAATTACATCTTAGACACGCGCCCTCATGTGGCGAGTCCGCTTGACCACATATCTCAAACACGCCGCCCCTTTATTTGGTGATTCCGGTTCATCATATATCTTGATTCCGCTTCATCATATATCTTGAACACGCCCCCTCATTTGACGATAATGGTTCATCACATATCTGAAACACTCCCCCCCCCCCTCATTTGGCGATAACGGTTCATCATATAACATATGTTAAACACGCTCCCTCATTTTGGCGATTCCGGTTCATCCTATATCTTACACTGCCATATGAGGCGACAACAGTTCATTCCGGCTCACCATTTTTGTTGAACACTTCGCGATTCCGGCTCCTCATACACGTTAAACACGCCCCCTCATTTGGCGATTCCAGCTTATCCCATATCTTACTTAAACATGCCCCCTCGTTTGGCGATTCCAGCTAACCATAATTATATCTTAGACACGCGCCCTCATGTGGCGAGTCCGGTTCACTACATATCCTAAACACACCGCCCCGTTATTTGGTGATTCCGGTTCATCACATATCTTGAACAAGCCCCCTCATTTGGCGATGAAGGCTCATCATATATCCTAAACACGCCCCCTCATTTGGCGATTCCGTTCACCATATATTTTACATTTCGCGATTCCGGCTCCTCATACATGTTAAACATGCCCCCCTCATTTGGCGATTCGGGTTCACCCTATATATTAAACATGCCTCCTGGTTTGGCGATTCCGGTTCAGCACACACGTTAAACAGACCCCTCATTTGGCGATACTGCCTCACCATGCATCTTAAACACACCCCCGCAATCATGTGGCGATTCCGGTTCATCATATGTCCTGAACATGCCCCCGCCCCCCATTCAGCGAAAACGGTTCATTGTATAACCCCTCTTTTGGCGATTCCGGTTCATCACACATGCTGAACGTACCCTTCGTTTGGCGATTCCGGCTCACCATATGTCTCAGACGTGACACGTGCCCTCATGTGTCTAGTCCGGTTCACCACATATGTTAAACATGCCGCCCCCTTATTTGGACTGACTGTGCGACTGACTGACTCCGCGCTCCCTCTGGACGACCGACGGACTGACTGACAGCTCGGTTGGATGACCGACTGACTGAGTGACTGGACGCTCTTCTTCGGACGACCGAATGACTGACTGACTGACTGACTGACCGACTTATGGACTGAAGTGCCCACTGAACCGAAAACCACAAAAACTACACGAAAAAAAAAACAAAAAGAACCCCGCCCAACTGAATCTCACAGTTGTGAAAGATTCTCCCTGCCGTCTCCCGCGATTGCTCTACAAGATGACCAGCATCTGGGCAGTGTCTGACTTGGGAACGGGGCATGGCGCTTGTCGTTGTGCTACCTAACTCTCCGGCTGTTGTCGATTCTAGCTTGTCTTGGGTGCCAGGCACCAGAACTTGCAACAGTAGCCCCAACACTGCCCACTCTGACATTCATCGGCACCCCGCAGAGCCACAAATATGCGGCTCGATCAATGTGCGAGTGGATTCCATAGTTTCTGGAAAACACAGAAGAAAGCACAGTTGCATTCGCCAGATACCGGTACAGGAACTTAGTTAGACCTTGGTTTACCCAGGAATCTCATCAGACTGTCGTCGGCTCGTCTTTTCGCATGGCAGAGTACTAAGCTCACAAACGAGGTTGGCTTGAGGATCCATAGACTTGCACATAATTATTGAGTACAGCCGGCTCGTAAACGTCCCGGAGATACACGGTAGGCGTTAATGAACACGAAACGATATCCGGTCCGTTCGTGACTGTAATGATGCACCCTAGCATCTTTAGAAGAAGGGGTGGCACCATCGCGGCATGAGTTGGGAGAGCAGGGACCTCTCCACGTCTCTCGCTGCGATGCTGCAAAGAAATAAAGAAGGCATGCTGCCGAGAAGAAGCACCAACTTGAGCTCCGGGATTGCGCGTAGCGGCAGACGCGTATCGCAGTCAAGGGGAGCAAGGTCAGCCAGGAGGGGCAAGACCTCTGGCGAAACCGTTGACAGAACTCACACAAGTTACAAGAAGTTGCCTCTCGACTTTGCCCACCAGACCGAACTCTGACGATCGCAGTCTTCGGTCGGTTCGATTTTGTTTCAAATCTGAGAACATCTTCCACTTTCACTGACTTGTACTCCAGCCCACCGACCCGCACTCACCCCAAACCACAAAGACCCACAGGCGCGCAGACACACATTCACACAGACAGACAGACAGACCAGGCAAGACAAACAGGACGGGACGGGACGGGACGGGACACTCAAACACACGCACACACACACACAAACATTTCAATAGAAATGCCCTGAACAGGTCCATGAACGAACCACTGCAGGACGATCCACAACGCACGAGTTCCGGGTCCTGAGTGCGAGTTATAGTCCACGTACTTACGCAGACTACAAACCAAACCATCACGGCGTGGACCTCAAGACAAAAAGGATGATAGAGCCAAGGTAAGCTAAAGTGGCTGCAGTGGCCACGCGCACGATGTGCCTCTCAGGGCGAGATGCCCACAACATCCAGTCCGGAAGCGGGTCTCTGCCAATGTCGAACTTGCTGAGCAAATCCAGCTCGTATTCTGAATCCTGGTGCGCCTGATAAGTCTTTCCCATAGGTTAGGTCTGCACCCGAGATGCATGTAAATAAAGGCTATGTCCTGTATAGGATGTATAGGCTACTTGTCCCGTGACACCTTGAAACATCCGGAAACCCTCCGGCTTGCACCCTTCTTCGTGCCTCGTAGTGCAAAGGCAAAAGTACTGCACACAGCACCGGGCCTGCGTGTCGCAGCCTTCTCTTTGCACACAGAAAAAATGCTACAAAACGCCAGCCTATCACAGAAAAGATCCGCCAGTTCAGCCGCCGAAATTCCAGAAATGCCCAGCCATCCAAGCCAGCCTGCTTCACCTTCGCTAGCTTTCAACACATTGACATGAAATCAAGATGTTGATGAAGCAAACTACAGTATGCTACCTCGTCTTCTGGTGTTGTCTGCCAAACCTTCGACGCCCAATCGAACAGGCCGACATGCCTGAGCTGCTGGCTGCTGGCACTTTTGTGACAGGCAGAGACGCAGCACTGACCCAACTCTCAACGCGGCCAAGCATGCCAAGCTTCGGATTGGCATAGCGCCTGCAGAATAGGCATGTGTAGACAGGCACTTGCTGACCACCCTCTTTCCATTACCGGAAACTTCGCTCGACCTTCGCGGCTTTCGACAGGTCTACATGCGACAAAAATAGCATTCTGCAGCTATCATGGGCTATCGCCTTGGCGCTGTGCTAGGGGATGCATCCGTGTCCGTCACAGCTTCAATCTCCAAGTCAGCCTGCTTAGCGATGCCAAGACTGCCATGCCGGCGCTCCGACTTCGAGGCCACGCCAGGCCTCCTTGATGTAAACTACAGGGCGAAGTCGACGCAACAAAGAAAAGACCTGCTTCAAGGCTCCCCATTCATGCGAAGCTTGACAGAGGACTGTACCACATGTGCTTCCATTAACACGCACCTTTGCCAGCGTCAAGACACCAGCCACGCCAATCATCAACGCACTCTGCAGCATGCGGATGTCATCCTTACCATTCAGTGCCACTCCCATAACCTAGGCTCTGCGAGGAACCTTCTCATTCTCTGAGCCGGCATGCATTGACATACGATGTACTCGCTGTCTTATTGGGACAAGAAGAAACAGGCAGTCAAGCCGAGCGGCCCGGCCGGGTTGAGCCCCAAGTTGCGTGACACCTGCAACAGTCGATTATAAGTCGATTGAAGCATAAACTTCCTATCACGGTAGCTTCGGTGGGCAAAATTGGATAACAGGATTCTTCAGCCGGCCGTCTCCCAGGACCTTTCAGGATGACTGAATCAACTGGCACAAGCTTTTCTGACCTTATTCAACCGTAAGCGGTTGAAACAGTCTCGGTTCGGCACCTTGCAACGCATCTAGACCGCTTCATTTAACTACTAGCCTGATCAAGCCTTCAGGCTGTCAGGGCAGGCAGCACTTGCTGATGAGCTAAGCCCCACCCATGCCGCAGCCACTTTCTTACAGACTCGCAGTCCCAACAGCCAGCCACAGCAATGAATGAAGCAAGTGCTCAATGAACATAAACCTAAAACCTCATGACATCCTGCTACCTAGTACTGTCCATGATACAAGTAACAACTGCTGCTGCCTCTTGGAACCCCACCGTCTTTCTAGTCTAATTTTCAATTGCAATTGCAGTCACATTCCGGGCCGAATGATTTGCTACATTAGGGCACGCAACCCAGAAAAAATGAACAGTTCAAGAGACCCGTGTCCCATAGGCCAGCCAAGTCACCATCTTTGCCCAGTGATTTCTCAATTTGCTGCATCTCCCACTGCAGTGCATCTTGCAGTGTTTGTGCCTGTGAAAGTCACCCGTTGACCGAGCATGATGTGATACATCCATAGCCCATTGAGACAGAAAGCACTCTTGCCCCGAGGATGGAAAATTCAATGGACTGACCAAGGGGTTGCGACCTGCCTGCCGTGTGTCACCGATGGAACTTCTTTTCGGTGCTGCATCAAGAAGCAACGGGAAAGAAGGCCAGATACATGAGCATCCGCCAATATTTACAACACGGCGCGGCATTTGCCGAACGGCGCACCCCGCCCTGCCATCCCTCGTTTAGGCAGTTTGAATGACGGAGTGACGGGCCGATAGTTCAACATGGTGTCAAACCGAATGTTGTTGTTGTTGCTGTTGTTGATATCGATGCGATTGTGGTTGGTGGTTGGTTGTTTGTTGTTGGCTGTCGGCTACTGGCTGCTGTTTGTTGCTTGCTGCTTGCTGTTTGATGTTGCTGGTGCTGCTGTTGCTTTTGCTGTTCTGTTACTGTTGTTGTTCTTGTTGTTGTTGTTGTTGCTCGTGTTCCTGCTCTGAATTTCGTCATCGTTCTCGTTGTCGCTGCGATTGTTGCTATTCTTATTCTTGTTCTGTTCTTGTCGTAGTTGGCTATAGTTGGCTAGTTAGCCAGTGAGTTAGGAGGTCAGCTAGATAGCTAGCTAGCTAGCTAGCTAGCTAGCTAGCTAGCTAGCTAGGTAGTTAGTTAGTTAGTTAGTTAGTTAGTTCGTTAGCTCGTTTGTTAGTAGTTAGCATTTAGTACTTAGTAGGTAGTTTGTGCGTTATTTGCTCGTGGTTTCTTGTCGCTTGTTTGTCGCTTGTGTGGATCGCTGTCCCCACCCTCGGTGTGGGGGTTTTAGATTTCTAAACTCGTGTTTCGTTCCGTGTACGGGGACCCCACGACCGTAACGCCAGCGTGCTTTGCTGCGTGTACAGGGACCCCACGTCCGTGTCGCCAGCCGGTGGTGTGACCCCTTATGGGTCGTCGAATGACCCGAATCGAACACTTGTATTTTCTTACGTGACCGGGGACCCCACAACCGTAACGCCAGTCAGTGGTGTGGAACCCAAATGCATTATCTGAAGGGTGGGGATGTTCGAAGCAAAAATGTTTTGTTGTTGTGTCGTTGCTTGCTTGTTTTTCGTGGTTGGTTGTGACTTGTTTATTGTTGTTTGTTGTATTTGTTGCTTTTACTTGTTGCTCGCTGTCTGTTGCCTGCTGTTTCTTGTTTATTGGTGGCTGGTAGCTGGTGCTGTTTACTGTTTGTTGGTTGCCGGTTGCTGCTGCGGCTGTTGCCGACGTCACTGCCGCTGTCCTTGCTGCTGCTGGTGTTGTTGTTGTTGTTGCTGGTGGTGGCGGCGGTGGCGGAGGTGGTGGTTTGTTGTGCTGTGCTCTGTTGCTGTTCCGACCACGTACCCAAGCCTTCGGTGCGAGGTGACGTCCTTTGCTAGGCCAGGCTTGGGCCCTGGTCAATCCCTCGCCATGGGACAGCTGCTGGATTCAGACAAGCTTCGAGATCATCGTTGCCTGTCTGGGATGACGGCTTGTCGTCTGATGCATTTGCTAACCTTATCACGGAAGCATCGCAACTGAAACATTTAACCCCGGCGGTCGGTAAGACGAGGACAGGCGAATGCCAAGCGGGTGGTCAGAGGAGTTTGGCGGAGCTGTCCTACCGACTGGACTTTGCAGCATGGTTGCGAAAGTTGGCGAAGTGACTTCACAAGGAACATGTCCTCTGCAAGCGCTGGCTCATCATCAACAGCGATGGAGCCTGGGAAGGGCTCGGTGCTACGAAAGCGGCATTTGACCCACCCCCCCATCACCTTATCGCACTCCATCTACATCATTCTACATCTATCCCCCCCCATTCTCCGCAATGCCGCAGAAGCCAATCGGCAACCTTCGGAAAAACGACTGAATGGTAATCTTCAAAGGTTGACTCGGGAAATATGACGGACTAAATCGTGAACTACAGCTGAATCGCAAACTACAAGCAGTGAATCGGCCCGAATCGTGAACCGAGAACACTTCCTCGGAAACTGAAAATGCTGCATCGGCAACCAAACGCCCCGAATCAGGATCCACAACCGGTGGGGCAGGGTAGGCCCTGAGGTACAGTATCGGCTAGCGAAGAAAGATCTCAAGCTCTAGAGCCTGCATGCTCTTCTTGTTGCGTTGCTTTGCATGAATGCCGCCGAGTCCAACGTCTAGGCGGGCTCATCTCAATGGGCCAAGACAAGCTTAGTTCCACCTACACTACGCCGGAAAGATTAACGCAAGTAAGTGGTTCGAATATTGCTGCCCTGTCAGCAAGGCCCTGAACCATGGCTGCGTGTCGTGACACATTATTCCTGGTTCGGACACTTATTGATTCGCGGGTAGTTATTTATCTGGTAGTTGTTGCCCACTTTGGTCAAGTAGTGGAAAAAGCGTGCATGTAGTTGCCAGCTCATCTCCACTTTCGCGCAGACTCACCATGTCTCATCATATTCACTCCGACCCGAAGGGGACAAACTTGTCAGCAAGCACAAGCAGCATGCTGCATCTGTGCCATTTTCCAAAAACCTCATCGACAAGTTATGCTGAAATCTCTGCCACGAGACTGCGCGGACGGATCTCCTCGTGTCTCTCATACAAAGACTTTCTGGTTCGGAAGGAGCAATGACTGCAGCGATGCCTCAGTCGCACGTGGCTCCAAGCAAGTTGCTTTTGCCGTCGGCAATGGGAACAAAGTCGTTGCAAAGTGGTGCAAGTAACATGACATGGGGAGTTCATTCTTCAGGAGAACATCCGGCCCGTTAGCCGGGCCAAAGAGCCCGTCTGACGAGCTGAGGCAATGACGGCAGCCAACAAGACTGCTGACATGCTTGCAAAGGTGCCTCCTTGAATGTGCTTTCGAGACTTCTGCCTTCGGCTAGGCTAGTGCCATCGGGCCACTTCGATCTTCTTCCATAGCATTTTCAACCAAGGCAGCAGTCACGAGGTTCATCAGGCCCACCTTAGTTGCCTAGTCGTCCAAAACCTTCAGAGTTTTCTAAACCCCAAGAAGAAGCTTTAAGGTCTACTCAGCGACTGAGCCACTGAGATGACTTGCCACGCAATGTGGCGCATGACGGAGAATAGTTGCTGTAGCGAATTTGAAGTCCGGGTAAAATGGGGTTTGCGTGAGTCCGAGCCATCAGGCCTGATCCCAGAGGCTGCAGAAGCTCAACGCATCAGGCCAAGGGCCGTCGTCCAGGCCCGAACTGCTACAGTGCTAGAGGGACCTTAGAGCCGAGCTCGTTCCTCCTCTGGCCTCTGCCCCTCAACGAGGCACTTCTGTAGAGCCTGGACCTCACGAAGCGAATCGGCACCGCACAAGCCTTACACACCAATTGGATTGCGGAAGCCCCTGCGATCTTGCAGCTAGTGTTGCGACTCTTGCGGTGACCCCCAGCAGCCCCAGCACAGCACTGTGCAGCGAAGCTTGCTGTCGCACAAGTGCTGCGCTACTGACATTTCTTGATACAGGCCTGCACAGCTTTGCCATACATGACAACTTCCATGTCGGCGCTCCCCGTATGTCTCGTAGTCGTTTGTACCGCTTGCGTGTTGTATCCGAATCAAGAACGGCAAGCTTGTCGCTACAGTTGGATGTGTTTGGAAGCAGCATGAAGCAGCCAACAGCAGTGTTCTGGCACGGTCAATCGGAAGATCTACAGCAGAACGGGAGATTTTCGGAACCTCCACCAGAAAACACCATAACACACACCGGCTGAATACTGGCAAGTGTCAGCTTCTTAGTGGATTTGTGCTCGCGATCTGTCGCGGCAAAAAGTCCATGCACAGCATGGCACAGCAATGTCATCGCATGCAATGGCTGTCTACGAGTAACCTGAATCCATGCGAGGATTTTGAAGCGACCGTGTGTGCCGCGAATGGGTTTTGTGTCGACTGTTTTAGGATGAAGTGCGTCCTGGCGCGAGGTCTGCCTGATCATGGGTCCGAGCAGTCTCTCCGCAGCATCCAATCACTCGAAGCTGCTTCGCTGTCTCCCAGCAGAAGCCGGTACTTGTTCCGGAGGGCACGGCATCCACGGAAGTGCCAAGCAACTCATGCTGCCGCGCTTCAACGTTGACATACTGTACTTACAGTGTATACTCACTGGTTTTTGCACAGACCGATGGAAATCGCACAGCGACTCCAAAAACCAGCTGACTCCAGGCAAGGCACGACTTCAACAGCGCGAGAAACAAGAAACCGATCCGAAGAAGATCAGAAGTCTAACCGAGGCAACACAAAGTTGACTGCTGTCTCATCTGTCACTTCCAATACTCGGAGCCGACGAGGCACACTTCTCAATCCCACATTCTCAACATGACATTTTCGCACAACGCGTGAGGGTTCACAGACCCATGGATTTTCGACACTACTGTAGACTGCTTCGACTCAGTCTATAGAAACCACATAGTGAGACCCTGGACTTGCACGGTAGCAGTTGTAAATGCCGTGCCACCTGCGCAAAACTTCCAGGACGTCTCTGTTCGACGGATTATGCCAAAGGACGGGAATACATCACCCGGTCCATACTTAGCACGGATCGTGTACTCAGCCCTGAAGACTGCACAAGCGAGAAGTGTTGAGGCAACGCTGTGGGGAATGTAAGTCCGATACCAAACTGTCGAGCAAGCCCGCCGCGAAATACCTGACCCATTTCAACGCGAAGGTTGCTTGTCACGAACATGACTCATGACACCAGCGCTTACGATTGCTCAGTAAACACCTTGTCAAAGGATGATTCCAAGCCTGGGCAGCGCTTCGGCCCAGTTTCGCCGCCAGAGATTCCTCAGGCGAGTGGCCTTGGAGCACTTACAGAAACTCTAGGGCTGCATTGCTTATGTTGACTGAGGCTAGCCTGGCACGGCTATGCTGCAGCAGCACGCAGCAATTAAAGATTGCTTTGTGGTGCCGGTATGCACATACGAGCCGCACCAACCGAACCCGTGCGAAATCCACAGCTTGCAAATTCACCGGATATTGAAACTCTGAAGGCCACACACCAAGCTTGCAGAGCGAGGGGTCAGCAAGGGCCTCATGTTGTTGCAAAGCTGCTCAAGCCAAAACGTTCTCATAGCGATGAATGTGGCTATGGCCACAGTTGAGTTGAATCAGGAAGCTGTGCATGAGACTTCGCGCGTGCGTTGCAACTTGGGAGGAAGCCTCCAGATCAGATCGAATCGAAGATTCATTGACGTGTCCCAGAGTTGGATCCTTGGACCAAAACAACTGTAATTAGCAAGCATTCAAAATAAGTTTAACATGTCGACTGCCGATATGCCGCTGCAGAGAAGTGGAGGCTTTGCTGACTGCTCAACGAGTGATTGCTGTTCTTTAAAACTTGTTGTGAAGCGAAGAGAAGCTCTGAGGCGAAGGCGTACGCACACTTCTCACAGAGATCAAAGCCACTCGTGGTGCACCGAAAAGTGACGGTATAGACCTGTCAATGCGAAGTTCACTGCCGATGGAAATTGCTGACTTCGGACAGCGGAAGTTCAAGAACAGCTGGATATCAACTCATCTGAGTGCACATTCATGTGCAAGATACTGCATGCATGCACAGCGGTGTCTTCCCAAGAGTACGGCATTCGTTTGATGAAAATCTGTCTGACCTCAGGACAACCGCATCAGCAGGAAAGTGTTGCTGCTGTGGGCCGCAATCCAACGGCACCTACACTGGACGCATTTGTTTCTGTGCTACAACATGCTGCAAGCAGTGCTGGCTATACTTGGCGAGGTTCACAAGCCGAGCAAGCTGCCGCTGCGGCAACCTCCAGTGAAATCACGACCATCACACACCCATCCACTGGAGGAAAACCTTGGTGCAAACACACCCCGGCGCATGCATGAATGTGAACGGCCCTGCATGATTGCTGAACACCTGAAAATGGCCAAATCTACAAGTTGGGCTGCAGGCATGCTCTTCAGTGCATTTGGGTGCACCCAGACCTGGCGGGCCTCGAATCAAAGAAGACTGCCAGTGCAGGTCGCTACTGGCATGGCCCGGCCGTTGCATACCATGTGGAATCACTGCCTGACTTACTGCGGACCCTCCGAGGCAAATGCCGTTCTTTTCATCCATGGGCCCAGGGGAATCTGCTTCTTGGCATGCCTTCATGCTCCAATACTAGTGTGGTGTTACCGGACAACTCGGAACAAAAAGCTGCCTGCCGAAGTAGCCGATCATGCCCACAATGCCAACCTTGCCGGATTTCGACTTCCCGGAATGTGTCACCACTCCCTTGTATTGCGTCTGCATACCTTGCTACATATGGCTATTGGTATCGGGAATTGTCATCGATGTCTTTGCTACCGCTGCTGTACATTCGTTTACACACAAAAACCATCACATATGTTTGTTTAAACAAATTCATGCGGGCGTACAGGCGTGCAAGCATTTTCTCACTTACGGCCTCCTACTTGCCTTCTACACTGCTGAACGAGTCGCTAGGCAGTAAATTCGCATGCGAGTCCCATATAACTTGCATAATTTTACCACAAACTGTCGATCAAGCGGACGTAGTTGATTTGATCATTTTTGTCACGTGAACTGTAAACACTGTAAACGCATGCCTCCTCACAGCCAGGTAGAATAAGAGGTATGCGACCAAGTCTCTTACACAAAGTCAAACATGATTGCAGCGGATCTCTTGCACTTGTGCAGCGAAGGGGCGTCAATATTGCCCTGGTCCTTGTGCGTATCCAGGAATTTCACAACCTCCGTGGGTTGCTCTAGCAATGCAGCTTTCAAGGAATTAAGCTCGGTTTGCTCCTGCGGCAAGTGTTCCATCACTTGGCTCTTGACGCTCCCGCCTAGTCCTGGAGCTGGTGTCTGAGAGATGGCTGCTTGTTCTTGCAGAACTAGGGTTGGCCGTGTGCGGGGGGGCGGTGGGTCGGGGCAGGTGGGCGAGCGGGGACGGAGGGGGCCGGTTGTCTGGTGCTTTTGCGCTGTTCTCCGGATTCCAGACTTCTTGATACTCGCTCTTTTGGCATCCTGATTGACAGATTGACATCGTTTCCTTTCTGGTTTGTGCTGGTGTCCGCGTTTCATGTATTACCGTGTTTGCACTTGTGGTGCCGAAGTGCAACACCACGTCAACACTTTGGAGGAATCACATGCATCCCAGCTTGCGAATCGCTGTATTTCCAGCTGCCCTGTGTCAGAACGGGCTCAGGCTATGGCGAGATACTTGCCTTCTCGCCACTTGGGCAACTCCAGCTCTGCCTCCCTGGAGGTTGAGTCCGTCCTGAGCTGTGTGATTACGACGTGGGGTCTTCTTGCACATGCACAAGTCTCATAATCTGTTTCTGACAATATGAGCCTAAGTCCCAGGCGTGAAGTACAAGCACGGGTCAGGAACACTGCCGGCTTGCTCCTCAGCGGAATTCTGAAACCTTGCTATCAGGACGCCATGCCGACCATGCCGACCCTGACAGTCACAAGCGTCGAAATCCGCACAAATGGATGTCAGGAATCAAAATGCTGATGGTCATGCTGTTGTACACACTGTTGTGCTGAACAATGCCGCAGTCTGAGAACTCGGCGCTGGAGCTATATGTTCTCAATCCTCGTGGTGCCACATCGAAAACATAGGTCAATCAGCAAAGTGTCGAGAATCAAACAGTCTCAGAAGCGAACCTTTTACTATCTCAAGCAATTCTTCGGCACACATGGAGTCGTACTTTTTCAGCCGTTCAACCTCAAGTTTGTGGCTGCATCAGTCGCGAACACATGTGGCCGTCCTTTCAATGTAGTATGATCCTTCCACTGAGGAGGTCGCATCAGGAGCTTGCTCCAGCACCCAAACCTCCCATGCACATATATCAGTTGACGCCTGAAGTTTAAATAAAGACTGCTGTCATATGCGATGTTGACCAGCTTTGCGTGGCTGCTTGCTTCCGAGAAACTAAACCACTCTTGATCGGCTCTGTGCAACGAGGCCCAGGGCCTGGCATAAACGAAAACTTTCCCACACAAAACTGCGAAGCCGTAAAGCCCTCAGGTGGGCAGAGCATGGCATGGCAGGGCGTACCACTAACATAGAAGTGGGTCAGCGTGAAGTCGTCTGCACATTTCAAGACCAGGTTGAACCTGTGCTCGAGCTGGGCCATGCTGGGGTGCAACTGGTACAACCTGGTACAACTATCCGAAACCATCACCGACTGAGATTGAGGCTTCGTTCCACTTGAAGAGCAATGGAAGGGCTCAAGCAATGGAACCAAAACATTCCTGAGCGGCAGGATGCTTCACAAGAAGTTGTCGACATCGCACCACACCGATTTGCATTTTCATTCGCTTCGCAATATTTGCTGTACTGCCTCCTTTGAGTATAGGCCGTGGCTTGTTCCTCTTTGCGACTCTCTAGCCGGGCTGTCGCAAATGGACTTAGGAAAGCGGAGAAGTACTGTCATGACCAACAACCCGAAAAACATCGAAACATGAATTGAGGCATCGGCTTGATGTCGTACTGACCCTTGCTTTTAAACGCTCCTCCGTCATAGGAATGGACCTGCAAGTTGCCAGAGGTATGTACCACCTTCATGCTTGCTCCATGGGTGCCCGTGTTTCACCTTGAACTTCTCGTTCAAAAGGCATGGTCGATCCGGCAATACCTGAGCCGGGAATGCTCCAGGATTGTTTGCTCCGATTAGTGTAACACTGCCACAGGTATTCTTCGCCGGATAGTCATCGGGGAACCGTTGTCCCTGTATGAGGCTGCGGCCGAAGACTCAAACTCTTCGGGCGTCGGCGCCATATTCAGCAATCATTTTCTGAGCCGAAACACGGTATTAATGCGGAATGCGTGCGAGGACTGGCACATGCAGCTGACACAAAGGAGTGTGGCTCCCGTCCGTCCGCAAACAGAAAACATGCAGCAATACAGCGAGTTCTGCAATGTTCTGCAAAATTCAGAAGAAAAACGAATCGCGAAACTGAAACTTCAATAACATAGGGAAATGGCATGGGCCCCTGCCCAAGTCCAGTCCTCAAGCGCGGCAACATGCGGCAACCATCGGCAACCTTTCCGACTTGCAATGACAGCAACCTGCTCGAGCACAAGTTGATGGCCAGACCAACAAAGGCAGGAAGACCAAAAACAAATCAGAATTACACAACGAATCGAAGAGGTCGCGTGTAGGGCGGGGGCGCTTGCGCGAAAAGAACGGCAGCAGCTGGTGACTCTGCGTCGCGAAGGTCGCGATTAGGCGCGAATCGCGAATGCTATAGAATATGCTAGCGCTCCCGTGTTGGCACGTGTCACACAAGCTTCGGATTCTCGTGCCTGGGATTTCGAACTGTGGACGCAAGCAAATATAGTCAATACATATATATATATATATATGTGTGTGTGTGTGTATGTGTGTGTGTGTGTGTATGTGTGTGTGTGTGTGTGTTGGTGTGTTGGTGTGGTGGTGTGTGGTGTGTGGT